TCCTCCTCCTCCTCCTCACGGCCTAGCAGGGAGAAGTTCTGGGCATCACACGGTTCGGGTTAGCCAAGATGAAGGAGTCAGTGATGATGCTTGCGTCCTTTGAGAAGGTTTGCCATCCTCCTCCTCCCTCCTCCCGTTGCCATCCCTCTCCTCCCTTCTCCTCCTTCTGCCTTCCCGCCCTGCCTCTTCCCTCCTCTCTTTCTCCCTCCCCTCTCGATCTCCCTTCGCTCTTCCTGCCTTCTCGCTCCCTCCTCTCCTCCTCTCCATTCCCGCCTCTCCTCTGAGCATGGAGCAGACGGTGGATCACCTCTATGACGCTGCCATCCACGGTCGATCGGATCAGATTAGCGGAGTGAGCGAGTGCATCATCATGGGGACACCCGTCCAGGTTCTTCTCAGCTCCTCCTCCCTCCTCCCTCCTCCCTCCTCCCTCCTCCCTCCTCCCTCCTCCCTCCTCTCCCCTTTGGCTCTCCTCTCCCCTCCTCTCTCCTCTTCCCTCCGCTCCATTCCTCTCCCTCCCTCCCCCTCCCTCTTCCCCCCTTTTTGTCTCTCATTTCTCTTGCTCGGCTCCTCCACCAACTTGCTTGTTCCTCCTACCTACATCGCTACCTGTGCTCTCCCACTATCCTGCGCTCTTCCTCGCTGTCGCTTCCTCTTGTAAAATCCTGCACACAGATCGGGACAGGATCCTTCAAGGTGCTGCATCAGACGGACCCGCAGGACGCGGTCAGGCCGAGGAGGAGGTAACATGGCGATGTATCGCTTCTGCCCGATGACAATCATTGCAGGATGCCCCTAATGCGACTAACGGCAGAGGAGAAGCACTTGGACTTCTTGAGCTCACTCTAGAGCAGAGGACGGGGAAAGGGGGCAGGGAGGGGAGGGGGGGGAAAGGAGAAGTGAATGAAGGTCTAGACCAGGAGGATGGAGGAGGAGGATAGTCACTTGGTAAGCCCCGTGAGCAATCTTAAGTTCAAAAACAAACAAAATGAGTTGAAGGCTTCCGAGTTTTTGAGCCTTTTGTTCTCTCTCAAGGGAAAAGCAGCGGGGGAGGCGGAGGAACGTAGATCTGCTCCCTCACTTCTTCAAGTTCCTGCTGTAAAGGTTCGGGTTGGCGTTGCTGAAGCTGGAGCCAACCTGACAAGAACTCAGCCTTTCCCCTCATCCACCTCCAAACCTGCTCATCCCTTCCCATATTGCCCCCATTCTTTCCCTTCTTTTTCAACAACCTCCCTCCTCTTCCTCTTCCTCCTCCTCCTCCTCCTCCTTATCATCATCATCATCATCATCATCATCATCATCATCATCATCATCATCATCCGACTTCAGCTTACCGCACACTGGCTCATCTTGCCAACGCCAACACCCCTGCAAGCACATGAGACGAGAGGCGGAGGAGAGGAGCAAACTTCACTTCTTGCACTCCGGGATCGCTCCAACACCCCAGTCATCGGAATCAAGACCTGTCCCTCCCTTGAGCATCTCTACACGCGCCTGTCTCCTCCTTTACCTGCGGGCTTGCCGGCAGACCTGTAGGCCAGCAGTGCGCTCTATGAGCAAGAGGGTCAGGGTTGAGAGAGAGGCAAGCGCCAGCGCATGCCTGCATGGACTTGGCGATGCTGACTGCCTTGGACGAGTCCTTCTTGCTGACTGCCTGCATGCCATCTGAGCAAACGTCGGCTTTTTCACACCATCCCACCTGCTTGAAGTCCTTGTAGTCACGGTCGTACTCGTCAGCCGCCTTCCCCATCGCCTCCATGAACTTGGACTGGATGGAGAGACCGCCTCCTCCCAGCGCTGAGACATAGAGCTTCATCGCTCCTGTCACGTCAGCTGGGCCCTGCGTATTCTTCAACCCTTTCCTTCCTGCAGGAACTTGGGCTACCTTGGCGAACTGCTCCACCGTCTTCCAATCGGGGGATGCCTCCTGGATGGTTTGAATGGTCTCCTGGAGGCCGTCATAAGCTCCCTTCACCCTCGGAAGGTAGCGCTTGCGAGCTGTTGGAAACTGCCAGAGGCCCTTGAGCTTGAGAACCAGATGAAGAAATTCACTCACATAGTAATCACCACGAAGGTTAGATCCCATCTCCACTTGCACAGGGCCATTCTCCTCCTCGAAAGCCTTTGCCTTCTGGTCGAGCTCTTGCCTCCTCTTCTCCATCTCCTCGCGCTCTTTCGCTATCCTTGCCTGCACCCCAGTCATCGTGAACCTCTCCAACCTACACTGTTTGGTACCTTCCTCTCCTCAATTGTCTCTACAGTTCCATCAGGAGCCACCAAGGTGCTCCTTGCCTTCTTGGCCGCAGCAGGATCTGCGTGCAACAAGAAGCTGCCGGTGGTGACAGCAGCAGCCAGCAGCACATTCCTCCTGCTCGTGGTCTCCATACTCATCTTACAGCTGGAGCTGCGGGTAGAACCCTTCCCTCCGACCAAGGCTGGAGAGAACCCGGCGAAGGCCATCGGGGGAGATGACAATGAGGAGGATAGTGCCATCGAGGAGCATGTAGGGAGCTCAACGCCAGCGGCTGAAGCCACGGAGGAGAGAGCAGCGATAGCTAGTACCCGCGCCATGGCGAACGACCGTGTAGCACCACCCCACGCAGGATGCTCCATCTGTACATAAAAGGGGTACTTTAGACTGTTTATTCCTCTATTTGGTAGTGGTGGGTGGGATAATTCGCAGGGGTAGGGTAGAGGGGTCGTTGTTATAAAGGTCTGTAATAAAAGTTTTAGTCACTACACTGAGGGAAGCCCACTTCCCCGCGGCGCTCAGGCGCGCGGCACCCGGCGGCGGGCGGGCCGGCCCGGCACTGTGGCACAGTGACCCAGCCTGCGGACCGTACAGTGACACGACTGACAGTGACGGACAGCGGGGCCTTCCGAGTACGGGTGGCTTCCAGGCTTATCCGAGCCTCCGCGAGCCTCGGAGTCCGACCGTCCGACTCCAGGCGGCCAGGCGGCACTGAAGCTTCCCTAGCAAAAGATGAGTCCGCCGCAGTGACGGAATACAAGTTTGTTAGACTTGTACTAGTCCAAAGTCACGCAGATATCACATCGACCTTAGTTGTAACAAGACAGTTTTTGCTCAAGACCGAGTTTAATGACAGTGCCGCGTGACACAAAACCAGACTGAGAATTGACTCAGAGGAGCACATGAGAGATAGACTGTATGCTAGGCCGTGATGTGAAACCCAAGCATCCAGACATGAGAGGACCTTAGCAAGAAAGCTAGGAAAGCCCCCTCTTCGTCCCACACGCTACATTGGCCGCCTCGCCACGTAAGTCGTCTTAGTTTCCTGAGACAGTACGTTACATCGGACGTCAGAAAGTCCGACAAACAAGAGAATGTCAGCAGAGTTCCAAGTCGAGATACGATAAGATTGTCTGCGTCAAGTTCACAGTTATGCTGAGCGGGCAATAACCATTCAAAGATTGTCCATTCTGAAGAAGATTTTCATGCAGGGCTATTAGATGTGCAGTAAAGAGATAAGGGAGACTCTTCAGATGCCTGGCGAGCTGATGCAATGACGAGAGAAGGAGGATAAGATAAGAGAGTCTGAGGAGAGAACTTCAGATAACAGAGAGAGAGAGAGAGAGAGAGAGAGAGAGAGAGAGAGAGCGCGTGTGGCGGCCCGCCGGCATTTGAAGACCAAAAGATAAATTTTTGAACCGTAAAGAACTTGTGACCAGAGATTGCTGCCGCGAGATTGGAACATCCGTTTCAAGGCATTTGAAGATTGTTGTGCAGTTGTACCTTGTTCGCCGATCCAGAAGTAGCTCCAGTTATGCATGATGCCACAGCCTAGCTCCATCATCGGACATGAAACTTCCGCCAGATCTCCTGGGCCCTGAGTTCGGCCATTTGATCCTACTCAAAGATCAAGAAAATAAGAATCGAATACTAGCCGCTCCACGTGTGTTTCCACAGTTCGAGTCAGATATTCGACCGACCAATCTGGCTGGGGAAGGCTTGTTTTTTCAATTCGAAGGAGGCTGCGATAGGCCTAAACAACTTGCGGCTAGAGAGAGAGCCTGATTGAAGAGAGGAGTCATCCGAACTTGATGTGTAAGGCTTGATAGAATTGCATGAATTTTCGACAGCAACGAAACACTGATACCAAGAAAGAAAAAACTCCAGTAAACAATTCAACTAACCAAACATAAGATCAACATGATTGAGCATGTAATCGAGGCTCATAACCGACGGAATACAAGTTTGTTAGACTTGTACTAGTCCAAAGTCACGCAGATATCACATCGACCTTAGTTGTAACAAGACAGTTTTTGCTCAAGACCGAGTTTAATGACAGTGCACACAAAACCAGAATTGACTCAGAGGAGCACATGAGAGATAGACTGTATGCTAGGCCGTGATGTGAAACCCAAGCATCCAGACATGAGAGGACCTTAGCAAGAAAGCTAGGAAAGCCCCCTCTTCGTCCCACACGCTATATTGGCCGCCTCAGCGCCACGTAAGTCGTCTTGGTTTACATGAGAGTTTTTGTTAACTCGGCGCTATCTGACTGGCACGGCTGCCTCGCGGCCGGCGAGGCTCCGAGTTTTGGGGTGGCACTGGCTTTCGGGGACTCGGGAGGGGGTGGGTATCATGGCAGTCAGCTCAGGGCCGGGTCCGCTCGCGGAGTCCGACCGGAATCAGGTAGCCTAGTAGGCCCGGCTCAGTACGCCGGGTATTTGCTGGTATTGGGTATGAGGGGGATGATCGCCGTCGCTAATACAAACATGTCGGCTGCGGGCGGCAGCAGGTCGAGCAAGAGGAGGAGGCTGGAGGGATCAGACGAGGCGAGGGAGGAGGGAGGAGAAGAAAGGAACGCAAAGGGAACGAAGAAGAGATCGCCAACACGAGGAAGTACTTGCGAGCATGGACGGCAGCGATCGGTCTGCAAGGGATGCGGGGGCAGTGGCATATGCGAGCACGGGCGGGTCAGATCGGTCTGCAAGGAGTGCGGGGGGGGCAGCATATGCGAGCACGGGCGGATCAGATCGCAATGCAAGGGATGCGGGGGGGCAAGCATATGCGAGCACGGGCGGATCAGATCGGTCTGCAAGGAATGCGGGGGCAGCAGCATATGCGAGCACGGGCAGCAGCGATCGCAATGCAAGGGATGCGGGGGCAGCGGCATATGCGAGCACGGGCGGCGGCGATCGCAATGCAAGGGATGCGGGGGCAGCAGCATATGCGAGCACGGGCGGGTCAGATCGGTCTGCAAGGAGTGCGGGGGGGGCAGCATATGCGAGCACGGGCGGATCAGGTCAAAATGCAAGGGATGCGGGGGCAGCGGCATATGCGAGCACGGGCGGATCAGATCAACATGCAAGGGATGCGGGGGCGGGAGCATATGCGAGCACGGGCGGGTCAGATCGGTCTGCAAGGGATGCGGGGGCAGCAGCATATGCGAGCACGGGCGGCGGCGATCGCAATGCAAGGGATGCGGGGGCAGCAGCATATGCGAGCACGGGCGGATCAGATCCATATGCAAGGAGTGCGGGGGGGGCAGCATATGCGAGCACGGGCGGGTCAGATCGAGGTGCAAAGAATGCGGGGGAGGGAGCAGCAGGTACAAGCAGGGGAGGAGCTGATCAGGTGCGGACAAGATGTTGCTGTGTAGCAGGATGACTGGTTTGCAGGATCAGGAGGTGGGCGCCGGGAGGTTGTTGGGTTCGTGCCAGTCAGATAGCACCCAGAGTTGTTTAATTGAGTTGAACTATCCAGTCGGGAGCATATGCTCATGTGAAGTTTATGATATCTCTACTCTTCACCTTTGTGTGCGATCCAGCGGAGGTGCCTTGAGCACTTGCTACGGTAGACGTCTGCAGCCCGTGTAGCTTCGGGGGTACGGGTGGCTTCCCTCATCCTGATAGGAAGAGGAGCAGACGCTTGTGAGAAGCGAGAGCACGCGCCAGGGGAGTCCTCCCGTACAGCAAGGAGCACCATACCTTGCCCTTCTCTCAGCCTGCAGAAGGATCAGCTGAGCTACAAGAGTCTGTTCTCTCCTCTGAAGCCCTCGAGGTCTAGTGCAGCGATGGCTACCATCTCCGATGTACTCCTTCACTTCCGGTCCTACTCGCAGCTCCTGAGCGCCGCCGGGCTGTCAGAGCTACAAAGGATACTCCACTCCAGTGTGAACCTGCTGAAAAGAACCACCTCTTGAGGTCTTTGTAGCAGGACTAGTGTACCCCTGGGGAGAAAAGGTTGTCAACTTCCAAGCAGAGGACCACTGCTTCCTCCAGCAAGGAGCACTACCCCTAGTGCTTCCCTTAGCCTATATAAGGATCAGCCTCTTCAGCTAGAAGGGCGCTGATCTAGCATCGCTAGCAGACTCGACATCACATCACTTTACCTCTATGTGCGATCCAGCGGACCTGCCTTGAGCATTCGCTCTAGACGTCTGCATACCGTAAAGCTTCGGGGGGTGGCACGAGGCATGCCGACGGGTCGGCGGTAGGAGCTGCCTGGAAGCTCCTCTCCTCGCGTCATCGCAAGCTGACTCGCCGCTACTGCCGTTGCTCCAACCGCGAGCAAGGCGGAGAGTGGTCGTGCTTATGCTTGCGACTCGTCTCTCAGTCCGTCGCGCTTTCTACCTTGCGGCAGCCATCTCTGGCAAGAGCGTCTGTACAGCTTCATATTTGTCCTGTCTAGTTTCTGTCTAGAAGTAGTGCAAGGCCCCTGCTAAGGTCACTCTGCCATACTACAGTGCTACACCGGCCTGGCTCCTGATTCAGCTACACTTCCACACTGCTACCCACGGCACGGGAGTGGAACTACCCGGGTACGGCCCTGGAACTGACTGTACACTGCGCCCTCGGGATCTGCCGCCATGACCGTAGGCTACCGTAGACAAGTCTCCGGATGTCCAATCTTTGGTTCTTTCGCCTGATCACGCAGTTATCCAGCACCTGCCGATGAGTCTCTGCTCCAGCTGATCAGCGGCAAGTCATCAACTTCCCCCTGTTGACTTTCACTGTGCAGACTCAACGGTCCCCCCGAGGACGTGGCAGTGACAGCACAGTGAAGGATGAGGAGGCTGGGCGAGCACAAGAGAAGGTCGGACGGCACCATACCGGACACACCCACACTGACTCGGCTACCAGAGAGAACGCAACGTGACTCTCGAGGTCAAGATGCTTGACAGCCAGTCCTGGCCGCAAGGCTTCTGCCATGTTTGATCCTCTCCATCGCACCATCATGTCCCTTACCTGTAAGACGCTCAGCGTTGGTCTCCTCCCGTCAGCCAACTTCTGTTTCCTCCTGTGTGCAGACACAAGCAAAAAGACGTCCTCATTGTCTTGCCATCGCCGCTCTGACTCCACCGCTCCTCGCGTAGACGGATGCTCCTACTAGCTCTCTTACTCACATGAGGACTAAGCTGCTTCCTTCCGTGCTCCCATCATGATCTCTGCCTCTCATACACGCTCCTCAGCCGTCTCAGATCAATCTTCCAGCAACCGCCGACACTCTATCCCAGACTAATCATGCAGCAAACACTACCACATGGCTTCTCCTTCTTCTCCTTCATCACCTCTCCAGGTGCTCCCTCCCCGCTATCCGCCCTCCCTGGATTTCCTCGCTTACAAATCCAGCAGATACCCTCCAAGTGGTCTCACGTGGACCTCCCGAAGCGACCCCCTTATATGAAGGCTGCCAGGAGTTCTAGGACAGCCGAGTCGGAGTGGACGGCGGCGTGCCGCGGGCCACTGTGACGGCCCGGTCTGCGGCGGGCCCATCAGTCACGCCGGCAGGCCCGGGCCCCGGCCGGGCCACCCGGGCGGCCGGCGCTCAGCCGCGCCGGCGGGCGGTCTGTCGGACCGTGCCATCACTGTCCACCACGTCACTGATGAGTCACCGCCGGCGTCCTGACGAAACTTTTCTACCGATCGACCTTGACGGTCATGCAAGTCACGGACGGCCCGCGCTGGTTACACCAGGGGAGGGCTCTAGAAGTTCCCAGACGCCGCGACAACTTCGGAAAACAGCCGACCAAGTCAGCATAAGGGCGGAGACGACCTGTCTCGAATAATCGAGAGGAGTGTAGAAGGGGCGAGAGGTGGGGCAAGTTTTTTAAAAAAGGCTGGTACTAAACTAATCCCTTGAAAAGATTCATTTTCAACAGAAACACTTCTAAATTGTTTTATTTATAAGACACAGAACGTCTCGGCGCATCTGGAATGGGACCCCTCAAAGAGCCCTCTACGGGAGGGGTGGACTCGGACAAGGTTCACAATATCATGATGGCAGGGTGGGAGGAGCAAGAAGGATTGAAAAAGTCAGTAATTTGGGGGTATTTGGATGCTAATCAAGGGGTGGGGGGTGGAGTCCCCCAGGGTAGTTGCTCAGGGTTCCTTTTTGAGATACTACGACCCACCCTCGTTTGACCTTTCAGATACACCGGTGCTTCCTATGCGTACTCGGACTCGCATCCCGATACGTACTTGAAGGTCCTAGGAGGCTAATAGTTTACTTTTAGGTCCTATAACCCACCCACCTCTGGCTGACCATGAACTTGTGCGTTCATATCACCCCAACCCCTATATTCCCTGTTCCTAATACCCCTGTGATTGGACTGAGGGTCTCTTTGGTAGCATTGTGATACTCTTCCTACGAGTTCCTATGACCACATAAAATGTCTAAATTGATTTTATTTCATCCCCCTACTGTCGCGCGACTACTCCCAAACCTTCCAGAAGAATTTTGGCCCCCCCGCCCTCCACCTACCCCTCGAAAAGAAGTTTCCACTACCCACTACCCCATATTTGGTAGATGTTTGAGATGTCACCCTTCCAAATCTCACTTTGTTTTCAATGTACCCGTTAAAATACCCAAAATATATCATCTCTACATAGGTAGGGTTGTACTGGAACCCTTGAATCTGATCAATTTTTGTACACCCCCCCTTCTTCAAACTCATCTAGTACCCCCTACCCTAGCCATTTCGTTTCTGTTCGCTCGTTCTTTTACACATCCATCGTGTTACCACCACCTCCCACACACACCCCTGCTTACTGACAAAATACCCACCCTCAGTTTGACAACCCCAGTAAAATCTATTATGGGTTTCTAGTGTCCTGTTGGAGCCCTTGGGGAAATATATCCCCCTGAATACTATTGTCACACTTATATTTTCTTCCCTCTTCACACATACCTCTGGCAAATTCATCCCTTGGTCTCCAGCACCCCCCGGAAAAACACCAATTCTCAAGTAATTCATCTAAAGGACCGGTACATAAGTACCCCCACCAAACCTTTTTCTCCCCTTTCAACACTTAAGTCCCACCCTTTAATTCTTGCCCCTGCACACCCCACCCCAGATAGAGACACGTCATGACCCCCACCCTACTTCTTTACCTCAATTTACCCACCCTCCGTAGTACCATCATTACCAGTATAGAAGGCCCCACCCTCGATTCAGACATGCACCCCATTGGGGGCTGTACCCACCCCACTATCCAGTCGTTATTGAGTACCATGCTTGATCCGGCTGAAAGGACCGGTTCTGTGCATACCACCCCCATGTTTTTCCCCTGTACTGATCTTCCGACCCACCCGCCCATGGCGCGCTAGCGGTCGTGTAGTTCATTTATGCAGGGTCGCGTCACTTGGGCATGCTGACAAGTGCGAAGTGATTGTGTGATGTAGTGTTCGTGTTTGCACCAACATCATTCATCATTTCCACATGATACATTACGATTGATTGTAATCCATCTAAAAAACGTTCCCATGAGGAAGGAGTGACAAATTGGAGAGGTGTACAGCCGCGTGCTTGATGAAGAGGTTCATTGTTTTCCCATCTTCCATCGTCCCATTTCGTGATTCCTGTCTGTTTCTGCCCCTTACGCTCGTTTCCCATATTGTTGTGAGATGAAAGTAGTCACAAACAAAAATACTCGGCCAAGTAGAAAGGGAGCGAACTGTTGGTTAGGATCAGACTTGTGTGTATGATAAAGAACTTCCATAGTCTTGTGTATCTTTTTAGACAGATGCTGCGGTGCTCGTTACTGCACATGTAAGGAGGGCTTCCAGTACGAGATCCTGCATGAGAGAAGAGAGTTCGCGTTTGGGGATGTTGATGGAGGAAGGAAAAGGATCATGTTGCACTTTCATACAAAACTTCTCTGACACCTGGTTTACCCAGACATCCTTCATTTGCAATTCATCGTTAAACATTACCATTGGACAAAACGTATCGGCAGTGAATGGGTGGTGTTGAGCACTGCTACATGACGACATACATCGGTTTCTACCTTGCCAGATCTGAGGCAATTACATCAACTTGTTAGATCGATAAGTCAAGCGCTTTAATAACAGCGCAGCTCAACGATGGGCGGTTCTTCTAGAAGACGAGCGGCAGCCCTGGTTGGCAAACAAGGAAGGGATGTGGCGGTTCACCAGAAGTCAACTTCCCCATCCAAGGCCTCTACTAGCGCAGGGTCCTCGGAGAGCGGAGACTCGCAGAGCAAGTCCTCAGCTCTCGTGGATGGCTTTGCGCTGTTTGCTCTCGCGATCCAGGATCACCTGCGGTCGAAGCTCAAGGCCACTGCTGGAGGAGATGGAGTGCCCGATGAAGCTGTGTACAAGGAACTTAGACGCTTGTGGAAGGAAATGGGCGAGAATCAAAGATTGGAGTGGCAGAGTCAGGCGGCAATGGTGCCACCTACACAATCGCAAGACAGCAGCTCGCTGAACGAGGATGAGGATGACTCGTCGCAGGACTCCTCGGGTGCTTCCTTATCGGCCAAGGCAGATACCAAGAGCGAGGCATCGGAAGAGGTTTCCGACAAGAATTCAGAAGCAGCGAAGGCTGCTGCCAACAACGATGTGAAGGGAAGTGACAACGTACAAGTTGCGGCAGCTCCACCTCAGCTGCCCAAGATCTCTACCATCGAAGAAGGCCTACAAGGGCAAGGATGCATCGCGGTGGGACAGCTGACCAACTCTGCGGACGTCGCGAGTATGGCTGGGAAGACCGAGGGTTTTGGAAGCGTCGAAGGTCAACGCAGGCTACCGGACATCGAGCAAGTTGTGCGTGGGGAGATGATGAGCAATCTCATACATACTCTCGCAAGCAACAATGGCCGGCCCGTGGGTCTGGATGCCCGTCTGTCGGGGCTGATGCACATGAACAATGGATGTCAGTCGCAGTGCCCTCAGAGAGATGAATTATTCTTTCCGCAGACGACGCAGGCGGCTGCAAACATGAGCAACATGCTGCTGGATTCAAGATTCCTGCAGCAGTCGCAGATGAATCGGTTCTACAACACGGGACTGCTCCCTGGGCCGTTCCAGGACAGCAAACCTCTCCCTTCCATGATGCTTCCTTCAGCCAACGTGTTCATGTCGCGAAATTCCTTGGGACAAGGGAGCTCTGATCCTTCCTTCTCCTCCTTCGCAGCTGGGCAGCAACTGGCGGCGTCTCAAGCCATGGGCTCGCCACACTCCTTCCCTGTTTACATGCCTTTCTCCATGAACGCAGACAAGGGTCTAAACGGAAATGCGATGGGGAGGATAAGTGGGGGGATGAACATGCAGGCCCAGGGGCCGAGCAGGATGATGGCTGGGGGCTGGCAGGGGAGGGAGGAGTACAAGGCGATGCCTTACTCGCTCAAACGAGGAGCAGACGGCAAGTCCCGGCAGCCCGTCATGCAGGGGCCGCGGCCGCAACCGGAACCGCCGCAAGTGAGGACGATGACGTTTGTGTGCGACCTGTTTTCGCCCTACGAGGGTCAGATCTCCCTCCAAGTGCTGGCGGAACAGTGTAAGATCGTGGACTCGGGCTTCGGCATCGTCGGGCTGTCCTGCCAGCTGTCGACGCCTGAGGGAGCGAAGGTGGTGAAACGAGGGCAAGTGAAGGACGCAAGGAGACACTTCGCGTACGTGCATGAGAGGATGGGAGACGGTGGCAACTGACTTTGACCGCAGGCATCAGGCCCAGCTACGGTTGTCCCTCGCCAGCTCCCCCAACCTCAGCGTGAAAGTTTTCTCTACTGGTCGCCTTCAGATCGCCGGCTGTCACGACGAGACGTCCTGCATGGAGGCAGTCAGGATCGTCGCGCACGCGCTCAACGATATCTTTGAGCGATCGCCTTCCATCATGAAGCGCCAGGTCAAGGCTGGCCAGGACCCAGCTGGGGTCAAGCTGGATGGGAAGATCGACATCAACAAGCTCCCTCTCCCCAAGATTGTGATGATTAACTGCTCCTTCGACTCGGTAAGATTCTTACTTCTCCCCCTACCTCTCCTCCTCAGCCTCATCTCAAGACGATCACGATACTGTTTTCCTAAACCTCATCCGTTATCCTGTAGGGCATGGCAGCGCTTGGTTACGGATTGGACCCGCACAAGCTGACTGAGCTGCTTCACAAAGTGCAGGAGAGCAGCGCGAGTGTGGAGGAGGTTTCCTACAACCCAGACCAGGTACATCTACATCTTGTTGTAACTCTCCTCTCCTTCCTCCTCCACCTCGTCCATCTCTCTCCCCCTTGTCTCGTCCTCTCCCCTGATTTCCAAGTTTCACTTTGTCTGTAGCGCTACACTGGAGTCAAGGTCAAGTTCAAGCCTACGGTGGTTGGAGCCAACGGGCAGAAGGCGGCGCTGTCGGATCGAGAGATCTTCATTGGGATGTTCCCATCCGGCAAGGCAGTGATCACGGGGGCAGTGCGGTGGGAGGAAGTGAGCGAAACGTACGAGTTTGCCAAGTCAATCTTGTGCGATAACTTCGACCTCCTCCGGGTGCCCCTGTCGCAGTCCGAAGTCTCGTCGAGGAAGAAGCAGCGCAAGGCTGGACCAGGTTGAGGAGGAGGAGAGGAGGAGGAGAAGGCGGGTATTCGTGTACATGATGTGATCCTAGTGTATAGCTCAAGTGTTGCAATTTGTTCATCCAGCCATGTGTCATAGCATTAAATCAAAGAACTCCTTCTTGTTTCCCCGTCTTCTTTGTTGTCCCCCTCCTCATCTTCCGCCTTCTCCTCCTCCTCATCATCTCAACGCTGTCTCTTCCCCGTGTTTTCTTGCTCCTGCAATCACTGTCTCGTTGGTTCTCCTGCCTGATCGAGCCAGCCGCTTTCATACACTCATTGATCGTTGGTCCCTTCCGCTACTCTTCCTCCTCTAGCGTATGTCGAACGTATTTCTTCCGCAGCTCCTCGATGTTCTTGATCGTCACCTGCTCCAGATTCTTTCTGTTCTTCCGCAGCTTCACAACCTGCCAACAACATCTCAGTCTCCTTACTCCCCTCCCCCCTCTCCCTCCTCCTTCGCTTCTCTTCGCGTTTTCTTTTTCTCACGTCAGACGGGGACATGGTCTGCTGCTTCCTTGTCTTCCTCAGAGACAGGACGATGCTCAAGGCCGTTCCCTGCGACACGTCAGGCCTCGTCGAGAGAAGTGCGCGGAACCAGGAGGAGGAGGATGGCAAAAGGAATCCCGCCAGCAGCCTGCGTGATGATGAGAGCGAGCAAACGGGGGGGAGGGAGAGAGGGAGGGAGAGAGGGAGGGAGAGAGGGAGGGAGGGAGGGAGGGAGAGGAGGGAGAAGAGGGAGAGGAGGGAGATAGTAGGCAGGGAAGGGAAGGGAAGGGAGGGAACAGCACCTTAAACGCCATGCAGTAGAAATTTTTGCGCGCCTGCCACAAAGTTGAGATCAGGCGTATAGCAGGAAGATCGGGGAAGGAGGATGAGGGGAGCGAGGATGTAGAGCAGGAGACGTGGCATTAGAGTAGTGTCAGTTGAGCGGGAGGGGAGGGGAAGGAGGGGCCGGTGGATGGTGGGGAGGAAGGGGGGGAAGCAGATAAAGGAGGACGAGGAGCAGGAGTTGACCGGAAGTCGCTCCTCTTCTATTGTGTTGTCTGCATATGTCCACTCGATCGTTCGCCCGTGCTGAAGTGAAACGTCATGGGGAGCGAGTGAGAGACGGAGGAAGTTTGGATGACATTCGGAGGAGGGAAGGGGAGGTTGGAGCTCGTAGGAGAACGAGGAATGAAGGAGGGAGAGGGCAGGGAGGGAGGGCAAGGAGGAACGAGAGGGAAAGCAAAGGGCCAAGTGAAGATAGCAAGGAATTTAGCAGAGTAACAAGCAAGAGAGGACGAGAACGAGGACCAAGAAGATTAAAAGGAAGGATGGATGGGAGGGAGGGGAGAGGGAGGGAGGGAAGAAGGAAGAAGGCAGGAAACGGGAGGGGAGGAGGAGGAAGGGAGGAGACGAGAGGAAGGGAGAAGAGGAAGGGAGGGAGGAGGATATCAAGCAGGGGCAGGGAAGGAGGTGCGGCGGGGAGGAGGAAGTAGAGGGGC